CGGCGCTCTGTGCGTGTGCAGTACAATTTCGGTGCTCATCTTCTATCTGCACAGAGATATGACGAGGCTCTCAGTGCTTTTCGACTGGTGATGGAGATCGATCCCACCGACAGGGACTGCATGCCGCTTTATCGTGCCGGGCAGATCCTGTTCTACCAAAGACACTATGCAGTCGCCGAGCAGCTTCTTGAAAAGGCAGTTCAAGGACAGTTTAGTCCATTGATACTCAATGAGGAGGAGGTGTTCCACGACTATGCTCTGGCTCTCTGGTTCATGGAAAAGCCGCATGATGCTGTGGTGAATTTCGAGAAGAGCTTGGCAATCAACTCAACCTTCACCAAGGGACTAAACAACCTCGGCTGTGCTCTGGGGCTGGGTGCGCTTTTTGGCCGGTTGCCCGCAGAAGCCATGCACTACGGCATTGACCAACTGCAACAGGCAGTCACTTTGAATCCACGGAGCCTGCTGTACTGGCGCAACCTCGTGGCTCTTCTTCGGTTCGCGGAAGAGGAAGACATAGCTAATCGTGCCTGGGAGGAAGTCTTGACCCTGGATCCCACTGGAAGCCTACCCGAAGATTGTAGCTGGGAGTTCGCACTTCGGTGAGGGCTTTGCTGTGCGAGAGGATGTCATCCCAGCATGAAGCATTGAGCTGGCCGTTGCCATTGGCAAAAGTTGCATGGTTGTATCGCCCGGTGGAGAGCGTCATGGGCCATGATTAAGAGGAGGCGACTATCTGCTTCAAGACAGGTACAGTATAGCCCAAGCCCAAGACCCAGGTATAACCCAAGACCAAGGAAGCACAATCGGATTGCGGTGATTTGCGCCTGGCACTCTGCCAGGATCGGACAAAGAGGCCGTGAAGATTTTCAGATATGGCGGGATGGCGACCGACTACAGGCAGGATGAGCCACCCTGGATCGAAAAACGAGTTTCATGCTAGCAGAAGAATGATGTTTTAAAGGCCGTCTACCCGTCAGCACCGCAAGCCACCGGAACTGGTGAAGAGGCCGGCCCATGCCATTTCCAGGTCTACTTGGAGCTTTTTCAAGCATCCATGTGTGTGCGATGCCAGGCGTGCGGGCCTGATGAGTTTGGAAGTGGTCGTTACTTCCAGGCGCAGCAGTCAGGTAGTCAGAAGGAAGGACTGAGCCAGTGGATGCTTGCTTGGGTGAGCGCGGGATTCAAGATGCCCGATTTTTCCCTTTGAGTGTCGACAAAGTCCTGATTTCCTTGCAGTTCCCAGCTTACTGGGGTCCTTAGAGACTCCACACCGGTTGTGCTCCGGAAGGCCTTCCTGTTGCTTCTCTTCTACAATTTTTGCGAAATTCCCTAATTTTTGGGCTTTTAAATCGCCCGAATACTTACGATGGGCTGGGCGGTTGGCACAGTTCTCGGGCAGGAGCACTTGATGATTTCCCATGGTGTCGAGTTACCCTTCGGCATAGTAACGTCCACATTTCTCACGATGCTGTTGCACTGCTCTGTGAAGATGATATTGAGAGGGATGGTGTGGGACATGTTTGGATGCGGATTATTGAGTATCGTTCCTAACGGCTGCAACGCTAGATCAATCCCATCAAATTCCGACCACTCAACCCTGAAACCCCAAACAACCGACCAATGATTCGGCAATTGACAAACCAAACATAGCTATGACGCGCCGGGGGCTCTCAGATTTCAGTCTAACCCATTGTGTCTTGTGGTAAAAGCCCCCGATTTTGAGTAAAACTTCGCCTTTACACACCGCCAGAAACCCCTGTTTTGTGATGTCGGAATGTCGTGCCCGGCGCTTCGGCGGTCACCCCTACAGTGCCCTATAAAGAGCGGGCTATGTACGGGATAGGAGGAGCAACAAGATATGACAGAGTGCAGTTCTTGAGGAAGGCCTCTAGTCCGTGGGATGGATCAAAGGGAGAGCAATGGCGCTGCTGAGAGAATCGCAAGGCAATGCAGTGTCGTGCAAGGCTCCACGGCTCAGTGCTCGGGTTCAGGCAGGCTCTGGTGACAGGAGGAAGGTGGAGTGCGGGAGATTTGTCAAGTGCGGAGGCTGAACACGAGCCTAGAGCTTCCTCACTTTCCGAGTTGCAAAGGCGGAGGTCGGGCAGGACCGTGACCCGCCGCTTTGCAGGGTCTGGCTCAAGCACGTGGAGGACGTCACCCAACATGTGGCTCAACACTTGGATGAGAGCGGTCGCCAAGCCATCGCACTTTCTACCTGGCCCAATAATGAGCAGTGTCAGCCGGAGCCGGTACGTGGGTTGGGAGGGGAGGGGAGGGCAGCCATGAGGCTCATCGTGTGATGTGCGCCCAGAATTTTTTTTACTTGTGTGACGAAAGAGATGGACGAAACGAAGACAAGATGGCACGACAGAAAGAGGGAAAGAGGCAAACTCATGCAGAGTCAGCTCAATGCTTTGCAGGTAAGGGGCCGTCCTGGCGAAGAGGTTCCGCCATTCTCCAAAGATTTATCGATTCTCTCCCATTTCCACTGTCGACATGGCAGGTTGAGCTGGCACTCTATATCGAAGACGGCAAGGCGACGCTCCTGGAGCCCTCAGAGCCATGTTTTTTCTGCCTTCAGGCTTGCAGGTCACAAGTCCTTGACTTAATGTGTAGGTCACGGTTCGAACGTTCACCGTCGAATCCAGACGTTCCAGGCTCACCCCCCATGCATGTTGTGACCCCCACTCTTTCCCGCCTGACCCCTTTTTCGCCGGAAGCAAGGCAGTGGGAATCTGTCCGTGGATGGGTTTGGGCCTCGGAGTTTCGAAGAATCGTGCAGCTCAGCCGAAGCCAAGCATAGCAGGCGCGGCATTCCTATAGCGTCGTGCAGCCAGGAGGAGGCTGATGGACCGAATAGTTTAAAGATCCTGAGAGTTTCATGCAGCCGGGTCCTGCAAGGACCGGGCATTCCAATGACGTGGCAGCCTCGGTGCGATGAGATGGGCAGTTCCAATGCACTTGCATCCCTCGCCTGGGCTCCAAAATGATGTAAAGCACCACTGATGAGTCGCATCCCGATGCCATTGCTTCAGATTGCAGGGAAAATGCAGGAAGCCGTGTGGTTTGCTGCAGCGTAGAAACGGTACGATCAGCATATTATGGTTTCCTTGATCTTGGTGCCGATGCCAAACTCTCATTCCGTTCACTCCAGGAAAGCCATGCTACTGTAGCTGCTAGCCTCTCTTTGTGTCAAAGCTTCAGCGGCACTCAAGTCTTTTGGCTCCAGAACCGAGGATGGATCCGCAGCAGCCTGGCGTCTTCACATCGTTAGTGGTTGTTGGCCAGGCGGACAAAGCATGGTGCATGAGCATGCTCACTTTTGTATTTTATAGGCTCGAGCAAGCATCAACATGCCACCCAGAAGCAGCCAGCCTGGATGCAGGTCTTTGACAAGCAGGCAGGCGCCTTCTGCTTTCAGTTTCAGGCGCGGAAGCTGAACGAGCTTTTTGCAGCTCCTTGACTCCTTGCGTGGCTGCTGCTTCTTGCTGTGTAGGTTGCAGTTGATGGTGACAGTCGCTGGGTGTAACTCCCAGTCATCCGGGCGGGGGTGATCCTGAGATGTGAGATATATGTGAGTAGCACGTAGGCTAATCGGGAGAAGCACAAAGGGATTTCGTATTGGCTATATATACGGGAGAAATTCCAGTCTGGTCACGCCCTTTTGCTGTATTCTTAGTTCGACCGCTGTTTGGCTCCAGGTCTTTTTTCCAAAAGGTCCTGGTGGGTTGTCCGGCGAGGCCGGCTCACAATGCCCTTCTACGAGCCGTATTCAAAAGACATGAGTTGAGGTCATCGTTAACCCGCCACCTTGCCATGGAAACGGCGAGCACCTTAAAATACCCTTGTCGAGCTCAGTCGCCAAGCGACACCTAGTGACAGCCTGCACCTGAACTTTGCCTCATTGAGGCTCTGACGTTGCATTCACCATTTTTAGTCCGGCACCAAACAGGACTTTGCAGACAGGATTTCTAGTTATTCTAGTTAAAACCTGTCCTGGGCTCACGCATCCTCTAGGGCTGAAGAGGTTTTGCCCGGAGTGTCAAGGTCGAAGAATCGAAGCTGTAAACATTTCATGCTGCGATATTTGTCTAGAGTACAGCCACGTGTTCTCCGTGCAAGTTGGACAGCGTCGCGCGATGACGATTGGCTGACAGGACTTTTGAAATCATTCTGGACCTCACATCCAAGGCACGATTTTGAATCGGACCGTCAAATTTGTTTTGCCACAACCTTCGAAGCCGACGCCAAAGCACAGCCTGATGCATCATCTCGTGACAATGTCGCCGGTTTCGAAGTTGAGCATGTCTAGGGGAAGTGTCAAGTCCACGGCTTTGGTACGACTTCCAGCTCGTCAGAAGGTCTTTCTCAAAGAAGTCGGCGTTCCCACCGAGCATTCAACAAACATGTGCTAGGAAGCACGCTGCCGCCCGCATCGACAGATAAATCTTGGCAGCAAAGGCTCTTCAAACAACTATTAGAGTTCAAGTTCTTGTGAGTAATGCATGGTGTCCATGACGGGTGCAATCTCCTGCGATTAGGGAATGAAGGTCGTGCATTCCTGCGCCATGACGGTTTCATGCCAGGATCGCAGACAGACTGTCACATGGAGAGCTGTGTGAGCCGGTTGCAGCCTCCAGCCTGTAGTATCCCATCTTCCCCCATGGCACACTACAGCTTCGAAGGTTGATTTGCCGACTGAAGCAGTGCCGCTTAGGCAGAAAAGTGAACTGTGCATCAGCGCACAACACGCATATCCCAGATCGAAAATCGCAAAAGCTACATGTCTTGCACATGTGCCGTCAGCCATAGTGCCGAGTCGAGGGCATGCCAAAGCACAGACACGCACGTGCGCACCAGCACCGCATTGGTATTCTCAGGGTACGTTCAAGGGTTTCGTAGCTTGCATGAGTCAGACGAAGTGAGGGCGCAGTCAGACAAACTCGTAGCAGCATCGCATTTTTGGCCAGAGTCTCTTCCAGTCTAAGCCAACTCCAATGGGCGCTGCCCGGGACTTATTGAGGAGGTTCTGGCAGCTGCGGCGGTTATCATTCCCCAGCCATTTGAGAGGCTCAGGCGGTAGCTGAAACGAGAACTTCCCCGACAACGCAGGCTTGCCGAAGTGGTGTCAGATCTGCTCAGGATGCCAGGGTCGCCACGCCGCCGGCCGTTCTTTCTAGCTACCAGCTAGAAATCTCCGGTCAATGAATCAAGCGGAAGTTGTGATGCTCAACTCCCGGCAACGTGCGGGCTTCATATTTTCAGTCATTTGCTCGTTGGGTACAGGTTGGAAGTCTGCGAGACATATGGTCAATGGTAGAGCTGGCAGTGCTGGAGTCCGGCATGCTATGTCGATGGAGGTGCCGGTACCTCCTCGGCTCTGTCATCAACTATGCTGCGAGACTTCCGGTGAAGATGCAGAGCTCCAAGTTAAAGTGGCAGTGAAGGCAGTCTGGCCTTGTGCGATCTGTGCATCACGACATGCAGATCATCGAACTGTTCGACACGACTGCGAAATCGACCATGGAGGAGCATTGCTATAATAATCCTAAGTCCTAAACTTCCTTCAGCACTCGAATTCATGTTAGGACCCATCGTCCAGCACCCTCATGCTGCAACCGTCCTATCAGAGGTGCGGGCACTTCAAACCTAGCTAGCTGCACCGCGGGGCCGGCCTGCACGCGCCGCTCCGGTCCGAGATCTGGACAACGTAGAGTCCAGGCTTTGGTCGCAGGATAGCGATAGAGCGCTCTGGACCATGCGAAGATGAAGATGTCAATGATGTGCACGGCCCAACACTTCCTAGGAAGTCCAGCAGTGGAACCGCTGACAACAAGACAAGGAGTTCCGAAGAAATCTTCTACCTTTTTCCACTGTATTGTACCACCTTGTTCGGTCAGCTGTGCAGAACGGGCTAGGACCTCGGCTTTGCATCCGAGTGCCCCATGTTACATCTGCACAAATTCCAAGTCAAAAGGGATGGTAGACCGGCTAGGCCGGTCTGTGAGCAATTACTGCCGTCGCGAAGTTGGGCACTTCAGCTGTGCACAGCTGTGCACCAATCAATGAACTGGTTGCCCCCATGATGTGGCGGTTCCTTGTAGAGGAAAGTACTGCATTTCTTGCGAGTGATCTTCGCAAGACCCCTGCAGGGCCGCGGGTTGGCCAGAGCACTTTGAGCGCGAGCACCGTGCTTGGATGCGGATGCCAGACCTGCGGTAGCTGCGGTAGCTGCTTAAGATGTGAGAGTGACCGCCTTTCCAAGGTTGGACGAGCTTCGCATCCTCGGAGTCCTCGGGTTCGAGCTCCGAGGCGCCTCGCTGCTTGAGCCTTTGCGCATTTTCGCACTGCATGGCCATATGCACTTTCGCTACGATGGCTCCGAGGGCTGCGCATGAAAAAGTTTCCTTGCAGCCAGACTTCGCCGAAAGCCGGTGTCTTTATCAGATTACGCAACTGGGCCCGGGCATCATGGAGCAACATGTCCCGTGGCCATACCTAGCTGCCCCCCTCGCCATGTAAGCAATGGCCAAAAAAAAGAGAAAACCGAAGCAGTGCCTTGGCACCTGGCACCTAACGGCATCTCACTCGTGAACTGTGGTTGGCCCCCAGCTGGCATCCAAGGATTGTCCCGAAGAGCAAAGATGATAAGCCTGGTTCGCCGCCAGCCACCTTTGCATTCGAAGCTCCCAAGCCAACGCTGCTCGGTTGCCCGAGCAGTTAGTTTGTGTTCAGCACCGATGGAGCATCGCGACTTCGAAGACTTCGAAAGTCCCGGAGCAGGCTGAACAAGCGCGGACCGAAGCGAAAGGGAAAGACTTCGGCAACCGAGGTTACAAAACCACCTCAGGTCGGCCAGCATGGGAAAGGGTATATGGGTCTGCAATGTTTTCGTGTGCCTATATGACCGAAAGGAAGCCACGAGTGGCCGATCAGAGTCCATCGACGACATTTTCTCGAAGGCAAAGTCGAAGGCGGCTTCCGCCGCACAGCCAGAAGGAGGCAGCCACACTGAGAGGGGCTTGCCATCAATGGTTCCAACTTGCGGCAAGCCCAGCTCAGCCCGTGATGCAGGTAGCAAGAGGAGGACCCAAACGGGCGATGGGAAAAGACAGAAAGAAGTCAAGAAGCCCAAGCGCGGTTCGGTAGAAGATCCCTTTGGACGGCAGGGTGCTCGAACCACGGTTGATAAGAAACTACTAGTAGGCCGGCCTTGTCCTGCATTGGATGCTGTGAGGCAGGACAGGTTGGACTTGCAACATCACACCCTTGCTGCATTCGCAGAACACACAACATGGACTGTTCTTGGAGTTTATTTGAATTCTCAGGTCTAGCGACTGGACAGATGACGGTCTCGGTGGCATCTACAACCAAGAAGGGTGGACTGGGAGGCGAACCAAGGATGAGTTGCGCATATTCAAGGCGCATCTGATCAAGGTGGGTGAAGGCGGTGGCACGCCTCTGTGTCCATTCGACGCTCAGAAGCAAGTTTTCTAGCTGCGAGCCGAGCTCTGAATCGAGCTGAGATCTACCAGATCTACTAGCAGCTGAATCTAGCGTGTTCACATGTACTGCCGGTCTTGGAATATCTGAGGACTGCTCTTGCTGCTACTAACCCCTGGCAGCCCTGAGTGTGGCATGCAGTCAAAAAACTTTTTGCGCAAGTGCCACGCTGCGAGGCTGCTTTCTACAGTTAGAACATGCAGTCAGGTTTTGGCCCTCGGTGTGCCTCTCAGACTGCCAGATCTCTTTGCAGATTGCATGGAAGGACAGAGCCGGATGCCATGACCCTCCCAAACTCATATCAAAGTCCTGCAAAGCCCTTTGGCGCTGTGTTGGGCCGTCCTCTTTTCTGGTGAACGTCGTGGCTTTCATGTCAAGGCCGGAAAGCCGTAGGAAGCTCGTGCTTATGGCCGCAATTTTTGTGGAGTTCTTTCAAGTGTGGAGCTCTCGCATTGCAGTACATCCCAATCCCGAGTTTCCCAGTACCTTCCCCTTGACGAAGCATCCTGCCGTAACGTAGGGAAGGAGATGGTTGGCAAACGACAGGTTTGCCGCGGAATAGACGGCTGTGGCAAACCGATTTGGGACGCAACGTGCCCTCCCAGGCCTCCTCATCAGTTCCGGTCTGGAGCTATCTACACGGGTCCGTGTCTTAAGAGCCATAAATGTGCCCTACCTGTTTCGAGCTTGTGTTTTTTTTGGACCTCCCAAGGCCAGTGGTGCGGCAATCAGCGCCACGGCTTCGGACGGCAAGTGTGGCCAGATGCTTACCGAATCCAGAAGCCAGTGCGAAATGCTTCATGTTTAAGTAGTCAGGCCAGATGGGGCGCAGTATGAGGGCTGCTGGCCGGATCGATGGCACACTCGCTTGAGAATGTCGCTCGAAGGGAGCCTGCCAGGTCCAACAGCAGTGCCTGCGGGTGCGTAGCTTGGTGTGGCTCACGTGAACCGGCAAGATTCGGCACCTTTGAAATCAAGTCGGACACGAACGAGGCTTGGTCGATTCAAGTTTCCCGACGGCTCGGCTGGATTCTAAAATCTGTGCGGTGACAGGTGCCGACAGGCTCCGGCTCTGCTTAAAGCTTAGGTGTACCTGGGACACTGGCGCGGAAATCGCTTCCACGGCCCGCAGCCATCAAAGTTTCCTGAGTTGCCAGTCAGCTTTGCAAACGGCCAAGCAGTTTGGCAGATTTTGGTAGGCTTGGGGGCACATTACCTTGCGGATGGTTCCTCGTACCATGGTCAGTGGGCGCGGGCCTATGGAGTCGAAGCGAAAGAAATCTTTTCAGTATCCAAAGGAAACTGGTAGACGAGAAAAATTTCTTGGGGTCAGCGAAGATGCATTCGCAAGCAGCGCGTGAAGAAGCCCGCCGGACTCGGTGCAGCCAGATCAACTTATGTATACGTGTTGCGAGACGTTGCTGCTAGCTGCTAGCAGGCCCAGGGTCTTTCAAGCCACGGCGGTGGTGAGGAGCCAAAACGTGACCCAAAATTCCTACTTTGTAGATTTGTAGATTATGTTTATCGCCCGGTTGTAGCCCTGGTCATCAAGAGCAAGTGTGTCCGTGCAAGACACCCATTTTCGTGGCTACATTGCATTGAGCACCTGGTCTTCCAGAGGTGTTGAATCACGGAGCATCGCAGGGTTCCAATCGCTGACGAGCAAATGAGCAAACTATTGCCGGAAAGACAAATCTCCCGGTTTGGTTCCACAGGTGGTGTTTCAGGGTAGCAGTAGCACAGAGGAGAGGAGGGGAGTGGACATCCGATGTACAATCGCGGGGATCTTGCTTTCTCCGAAGTCAGGTATGGCATGTACCAGCAAGATATGATATGAGGAAGACCTCTTCGAGATCTTACACACTCAGCCAGATGTTTTACGCCAAGGGTAGGCAGGCCATGTGTCCAGGCCATGCCTATGAGACACGATGGGACGCACAGACCAGGACGGCGGGGGACCACTACCTATAGGAAGAAGATCCGGAACAGTGTGCGCACCCAGCGGAGGATGTAGCAGCAGGTTCTCCGCGCTTTACTGATATTGCTTGTGGGGAAGTTGCTGTTTCTGCTGCCTCTGCTGTACCTTTTGCTGTTCTTGTTGTCGTTGCCGGTTGCTCGACATGGCCCAGTGCCACATTCGTCCAGCAAGCTGTGGGCAGGAATTAGACAGGACAAGGTTTTGCAACTGGCTTAAAGTAGGCTCGTTCCTAGGTCCACGGATCTCGAGATGGTGTTGGCGTGGAGACGTGCCTCCGACTCAGAAAGTTGTGCCCAGGCAGTTTGCCATGATGTCTCTCACGGTTCAGTTCTTGGTGTTTTTTTAGCGATTCGGTTTTGTTTGAGTCGCGATGCTTGCGATATCAGATTCTTGCAATCTTGGATCAGGAGGAAATCACGAAAAGCAGACGCAATTGAATGCACCTCCAAGAAATACCTTGTTGGACTCAGTTGCCGATTGATCCTGTCGAGGCAGTAAAGAGAGTTATGGCTTCCATAAGAGGCAGTGGAACATGTGGATTTGATGTCGTTGGTGTAGCTGCTACGCAGACGTTCTCTGCTTGGCATGGGTGTTTGTACAGAGGACATAGCAGTTTGTGAGCAAGTCCTCAAAGCTGCGCTGGCAGATGAGGCCTTGTTGATGAAAGATGGATTTCGAGCGACGCGGGTACTCATGTCACAGCTCGTTGATAAGCTAAGACAGGGCGGGAAGCCCGAGAGAAAGCCGAAATCAGGAAGGACATCCTTGCCCAGTGGCGTCTCGGAGGATGACAAGGAACGAACATCTTACAGCGTGTGCGAGGTCAAGCCCGCACAGTTCAGCCGCTTGGTCTACACCAACCCGGTATGCCTACTGAGCTCCTGCCAAGGCAGCGAACGAAACCTCATGACAGTTAGCTGGCTCACAGCCGTGGACAACAACGGTCATTTGGTTCTTTCCCTAAACAAGCGCCGCCACTCTGCTGGCAGCATTATGTCCTCTCGTGCTTTCGTGTTGAACGTGCCTACTGCCCAACTTGCTCAGACAGTGCTGGAAATTGGTGGCTGCAGTGGGGGAACTACCGACAAGATCGAACGCTTCAGCGCACCTCTGGGTGGCTTTTGCTTACCGGGATGGAAACCACTAGGAGCCTGGCCTCCATCTGATGAAGATTCGGAGGCTGGGAAGCTGGTGTTTGCCATTAGTGGATGCGTAGCGCACTTGGTCGTCCATGTCCTCGTGGATCTTGATGAGATAAGCTCCCATCACCTACTGGTTTGCAAGGTGATCCGGGCTTTTGTTCGCAGTACATACTGGGATGGCAAGATATTCTCTCCACGGTTGGATATGGACACACAGACCCCACCTTACATGTCCTTCTTCGGAAGCCAGACTTTGGGATATGTGGTTCCAGGCTGTTGTGGACAAGGTGGCGAGTAGCATGCATTTTTGGCTGGAGCAGATTACGAGTCAAGGCTCCTGAGTCAGCTGAAGGATGTGCGCAGAATGCCGCCCCAGAACAAAACGCCATGAAGCTTTTCCTGGGCATTTGCGATAGGAACGAAAATCATTGGACCAGCATTGCAAGAGACGGCCGACACCCAGGATTGTTTTTTTCGGATAAGCTTCGCCAATAAATGCGAGAGCGCAGCCCAATCTCTTCTTGCTTCAGAGAAGATCCAGCGCATTTGAGCATATTCGAGCACTGTGTACCGTTCTATACCCCAACTCGTCATAGGTCAAGAGTATGCATATGTTTGGAAACAGCGGTTGAAGCTGAAATTCAATCATGTTCCTGGCGGTGAGTATATATATATATATATATCGCAAGTTGACACAAGCATCGCAAATCCAAGCACCCAGTATCTTTCGCCCCGAGCCTGTCTAATCGAACCAGACATGGTCCGAGCAGTACAGTCTATCATGTGGAGTCAACGAGATCCACAGCATGCAATAGCAATGCCGAACCTTCATCTCAACGGACTGCCTCGAGCCAAAGAGCGTAAGATAGGCGCGTGGCAGATGACCCCCGTTTTTCCAGTACTAGTGGCAACATGCGGCGGGCGCTGATGCGTGTGCGATCTTGTTTTGCTACTGTTTTTGAATAGCGCATGGTCTGCATGTCGGGAACTTGTGGGTCTTCTCCAACAGAGCGGCAAGGGGATTCAATGAGAGCACGTGCGATTCGATAAAGAGTTAGAATGGCCAGAAGAAAGGAGAGCTGCTTGAAGATTACAGCTTCTTTCGAAGAGCACTCGGGCATGACATGGAGAAAGGGGACTGAAGAGGGAGGGTGCAGCGACTGCCTTATTAAAGCAACTGAAAGCACCACAGTTCCTTGCCATTTGTTCCCCCGCTGCTGCTTGAATTTGTGCTCCAGGGGTCTCAGAGTAGCGCTTCCGTACGTTGCATCGGTGTAGCGACATGGGGCGAATGCAAGCCCCGCTTCGCACAGGGGCACTGCTATGCATGTGTCTCGCTGGCATCTGGAGCCTGGGAGTGCCGGCCGTGGCCCCAGGAAAGTGTGGCGTGCAGCCAACTTACTGTTCCAATATGTTCCAATGTTCTAGATGCTGTGAACGATGTTTCGAGCGCCCCATCACGCTATCGGGCAGCAATGCGACCCTGAGTGAGCCTCATGACAGCTGCGTTGTTTCAGGTTTCATTTCTATGCACAACCAGCCTCGCAGCAGCAATGCCTGTGGCTGCAGTCGCAGAGTAGGCACAGTGAGCCTGCAGAGCTCCAACATCTCAGGGTGCTTGTCACTGAGGCAGGCGAAGAGCCATGCCGACTGCTTTTCCATCATGCAGGATTCCATTGCCTGGTCGGAGACCCCATGTTTGTCTCCATGCCGGTGTCCCTGATGACCTAGCAGGCGTCACTAGGCTCTACTCTGCACCGATTGATGTCGCAGCCGTCAAGACGGGACAGCTTCGGCAACGATCATTTTACCTGCTCTCACGAGGTCAGGCTCCCGAAATATGTGGAGATCTCACAAGAAGCACTCCTGGCAGCAGCGGTTGTTCAGAACAAGTGCTTCTCCGGCACATAGAGAACGAACTGTATACTTCTAGAAGGCAGCGGTTTGGTATGGTTTGGCCGCTGAGGAAGGATGACTTGCGGAAGTTGCTGGATGCAGGCACGGTGTGTGCTGTTCATGGGCTCTTCACATGTCAAACCGACTCGTGCAGGAGCCCCGCTGGAAGCCATTTCTGGCAAGGGCAGAACCGCGCTGGCGTGTGCAGCAGCCGCATGGCTTCAGTTTGCAACTGCATGTGGCCAGTTGTCTAGAGCCGCTGTCTTCTTTCCATGCGGAATCGCCCGACGAAATTCCGAGCTGGGTCAAAGATCAATTAGAGGGTGGCAGAAGCCGCTTGATGAGCCATTACAATGACATGACATTTAATGTCATGAGAATTTGATTGATTCGCGAAACCTGGCTGACATACCCCACTTCTTTCAATCCAAGTTTCAAGCTCCAAGCCAATTGCTCTAGATGCTGTGCTGCACGCTGTTTACACGATACGTGCAATCTTGACCAAGTGTTCCATAGATGAGCTCCATGCATTCCTCTCGGCTTTCGCAGAAAGAGGTCTGCGACGGTTCTTTTTAAAACTAGAAGACTTATGGACTTGGCGGAACAACAAAGAACAACCATTTCGCTGACTTTGCTGCATTGGGAAACTGTTTCGACCAATGCCGATTGGTGGAAATCCTCAGCAGGCCGCCAATTCCTGAAGACATCTTTAGGACATCAGGACAACAACAAACAGAAAGCACGAAGCCGCTTCCGGGAGTGGACTAACCGGAGACGTATAATTAGATAATTAACTACATCTACGAGCACATTATCAGCATGTCAAGTTGAAAGGGAAATGGAGACAAGCTCTCTCTACGGGTTGACCTGAAGGTCGCAGGCAGTGCGTACGCTGGGTTCAGGCTTCCCGTTCGGGATAAAGACAGGGCTTAGGCGGGAAGGTCAGATACAAGACGCTAAAATGGTGGACGGGGCTGTGCGGACGAGGGGAACTGCCCGTTCCTGAACCCCTAGCAAAGCAAAGCTCAGACTCGCCAGCCCAGAGTGCGTGCGCGTGAGGAAGGGTTCGAGAAATTGTATTTGTATTTGCAGAAGCTCCCCTGCCCCCAGCTACGAGGGCTTGTTTTTGTGAGGCGGCGCCCGTGCAGGGCCGTGCGTTCAGACACTTTTGGGCCGGGGTGGGGGAGTAGGGCGGGGGGTGGGGGGCTTAACGACAACCGGTTTGCGCAGATATCAAGATGACATTATGGTGTTACTTGCGGTAAGGATGTCTGCACATTCTGTCTGTTGCATAACGATGATGGTGATGCTGACAAAGTTGAGGCGACTTCCGACTTGTGGTTGCAGTTCGCACATGCTGGAAGCTTCCTGCTAACGCAAGCATACATTGCAGGGATTAGCGCTGCCTTTATATGCGCTGCTGATCCTGCGGCAGACAAGTGGGCTCCTGTGACTACAAGCTTTTCATGAGCTGCAAAGGCTCGTACAGGTGCCTTTGCAGGAGCGCTCGGCCCCACGCCACTACTACCATGCAGTCCTATACAATAATGTAACGAACGAGCGCAAGTGCCACATGATATAGGCTCGTACAGCCCGCGCCATGAAACAGTCATGAGATCCACGGAACACGATGCGGTTGCATGTGTTGGTGCGCAGCCATGAGGACACAATGAAGGGCACCGGGCTCTAAGTAAGCAACGCAAACCTGTAACATGATTCTGCGCCAACAAAAAGGCTGTGGCCAGAGCACGTTTTTGCAGCTTGTCTTTGTCAACCTACCCAAGGCCAAAAGCACTCTCTGCAAAAATGGCCTCCGAAACAAACAACATGCGTACAGTGTAAAACACGCCCGTGCTGTGGCGACAGCACGATGCTAAAACAAAAATGATGTTGAAACTACATTTTCAAGACCCGCCGAACAGAGAAACACTTACAACATCGAACAGGCGCCGAGCGAAAATGCATTGTCGCGGAAAGTTTGCATGAGCTTCTAGAGTTTCCGACCTGAGAAAGCTTCTCGCCCAAGCAAAACGCGCTTTTGGCTGGAGTTTTGGCCACGCCGCCGTGTTGCACTAACAAGAAAATGTCTCCAAACGCACGGCCCCGTACGGGCGCCGTCACCTTGTTTTACTTGCTGACTGGTTGCCGCCGATGCAGCAACCTCAGCACACAAAAATTGATCCTGAGCACGAAGCTAACGCCAGCGACGCAAGCAAGTCCATCGCCTGTGTCCAAGACCACAGCGCAAAGTTTGGCATCGGGAATCATCGGAAGTCATTTTCATCCGGACTACGACAAGAGTGGCACTTCCCGGCCTCTTGTTTATGCCCAAGTCCACTGCCATGCATGCACTACCCGAGTCGTGAAGGCGAGACAGATGGTTTCACAGTTTCACGGACATGTTTGTTCCTGCTCACACTTGAGTCCAGACCTGGATTCGCAGCCAGCTGCAAGGGCAGCTGAGCCAGAGCACGGAGGAGACCCTGTTATTGTGACAAGCCACGTTTCAAGGTGGCGGACGATGAGGAGAGCGCTCGACTACTGCTGGACAAAGGTGCTCAACTGGAGGAGGGCCGGATGATGCTGTGTGAAGTTTTTCAGGTCTGTTTTGTCTAATGACTCAAATCATGTACTGGGATGCAGTTGACGGGTGAAGTCAAAATCGGATACGCGCTTGGTTTGAGATCCGTGTGAACCCGTTTCTTTGCCGGCACGACTGCTTTGATTTGAAGGCATTGGACGATTCTGGGCGTACGCCTTTGGCTTTGGCTGCTGCCTACGGGAATTTCGCAACTGAGCAGTAAGCATTTTTTCGGAGCCGTATATCTTGCATTACTTGTGTCGATTTAAAGTCCTTTGCATGAAGTCTTCCCAGCAGTCCCCACCCCCCAAAAAAGACCAACCCACAAGTCACAAGGCCCTCGTTCGCTTCTTCGTGGAAGCCGGGGCCAACATCGAGGCGAGAGACAACGGGAAGATGACAGCGCTCCTCTGGGCTTCGGTCAACGGCAACGAAGGCCCGCACAGCTGGGCCCCGCCCTCTCCGTGAGAGATTTTTGAGGTCTAACTCTGGCATTTACTTGGGATTTAGCAACAGATGCCTGGGTTTGGGGACCGCTTTGCCCCTATATGCCTGTCAGATGTTGTTCGGTTCCTTCTGGATAACGGCGCGGACATCCATGCTGAGGATGAAGATGGCATGAGCTTCGGAGAAGTAAGCATCTGCAAAGCCACAGGACAACGGGTAAGTCAGGCCCAACGCAGGTCGACATTTTACAGCCTACGTAAGTCCATTGTGGCCAAGCCAAGGACAGCACTGAAGCTGGCAACTTTGGGTAAGCGCGACGATGTCATGAAGCTGCTACTATTGGTCGAGGCTGTTGCCTCAGGTATAGTAAAAAGATGTTGGTGAGGCATGCTTGTGTAAGCGCCTGCACATTGCAGGCATGATGTGTCGATCTGCGTCGGCCAGTAGAGTTGCCGTCGGCGGGCTTTGCAATCCTGAGTCCTGAGGTTGATTTCCCACAGGAGAAGCTGATGTGAGCGTGGCACGGATAAGCCCGGTGCCATGCCTCACAAAGCAAACACGGGAATGGACGAGTGAGGGCTGCCTTTGCTGTTTCTTCCCATTGGCACAGTCACGACGAAAAGCGCCACAGCATCCAGCAACTGCAAACAGCCCTTGATCCGCATTTGCCTACGTCGTGACTCGTGCTTGGAGTTGCCCCGCCTAGGGAGGTCAATGTGCCAGGTGATCACTCTCCATGTGTACATATTCGCCTCTTCCAAGGTGTGTTCTAGATACACACACTAATTTCAGGCATGCACAGGCACCGGGGCTTTGAGCGGTTGGTTGTGTTGCACGTGCTGATGTCCATTCGACCATGCGCCCATTTGTTCTCGATTGGTGCCTGAACTACCATATATTGCGCCGGTATATCCAGCGCAGAGCTGTCAGCATGAGACAGCTGGTTCCTGTCAACGCTGGCAAAGGCCTTCGAGGGAAAACGAATATTTCGCAGAGTGGGTTGCTGTTTCCGGCACAGGAGCGGCCTGCTGAGGATCCGGGAGGTCTCAGGAGAGATGAACTATAGTCCTGTGAGGGGCATGTTCCGGAATGACTGGCATGCATCAAAAGTAACTAAAACACGCTTCAAACACGAAAGGAATACGAGAGGGAATACGAGAGGACCGGAGCCGGCCCGGCCATCGCCCGGCCGGGGACGCCCTGGTCCTCTCGTATTTCCGAGAGCTCTCGTATTTTTCTTGTTTTTTTCTGGTAATTATTTGGTTTTTTAGTACATCCCAATGATTCCGGGCCGGTGCCCATCACAAAACTAGTCGAAGATACCAGGTACAGGGCAGACAAGTAAGCGAGTTCATGCGTCGATCCAACCGTGGTGTTGTTTCATGCAGCATCTAGAGCTGGAGTATGCTTCAGTGAGAGCTGGGACAGGGAGTGGTAAATACAAGAAAGTTTCCGGTTGCGCATGGCTTGAAATTGCATTGGCATGCAAACGACACGGAGCACAGATTTGGGCATAAAGTGGCACCGTGAGGCTCCTCCAGCGCAGACGGCGCTCAGGCCTGCAAGGGGGACTCGAGCTTTCGTGTTTCGGACCACTCCTCCGTCAGAGGCTTCAGTGTACTGGGGCGACTTCTGTCGAGGTCAGAAGGCACGGTTTGCTTTACTCGAATTGCATCGTGGCACCCACTTTTTCCCCAGAGCGTGTTCGTGCGCAGGTCTCGTGTCTTGGATGGGCCCACTGGCGAAACTTTTCTGTATGCCTCGAAAGTAGCTAGTGCAATGAAGGATTTCTGGCATCAAGCGGGCCACTGGTGCGGTCGAAAGTTTGGGTACTGGCAAGTAACTCGCGCCACGGTCGCGGGGGGTGCTTGATGAGTACTTGAGGTTGGGTCTGCGATAGACTACCCAACGATGCATTTACACAGCTCGGAGTGAGTCCAATGCACCAGTGGCCACAGACATCACAAAACTACAAGTTAGTCGCAGGACTGTTCCAACAACTTCGGAAGACTGACTCAACATGGAAATCTTGCGCTGTGTGAGTTTCTTTTTGATTACGCAATCGGCACTTCTTTAAAGTATCTCCATGTTCGAGCATGGGTAAACGAGACATTTTGTCACGCTCATGCAACGCATAACACAAACATGCTGAACGCACGCGGCGCAGGCAAGCGACACGAGGCACTGCAGAATGGCCAAAACCGTGCGAATTTAAGCCTTCCATAGAACGGTCCGTGGCTCGTAGGCATGTGGTCTCGTGCAAAGTGTCACTGGCCCTGCGCAGTGACGCGAACCTTCTCTCTCACGCATTGGATGTTTTTCGAAGTGTGCACGTTGCAGCAGCGAGTGTCAACTTGGCTACGGGTCGGCCTGCGTTTGCTGATGCCAGAGCGTTCAATTGTTGAAGTTCCTGTTCACCCACCGCCGGAGGAAGTGCACTGAAGTCCCCCTCCGCGTGGTGTGTCGATGGTGTATGTCTGCAGTAGAGCAGTAGAGACCCAGCGAACATGATCTGATCCGAAGTGCATGGGGTGCTGACACGTGCTGTCAGGGTTTGAGTAGTTAGGTTGATGATGGTTGATGTTTAAGCACAGCTGACACGCCCGCCACGTTCCGTTCACGCGGGTATGCTATGCAAAGGGAGCTATTTTTCTGGGCGCAAAATACAGTATGCAATGAGTTGAAGTGCCGCCCATGATTTCCCAGGTCAGTTTGCCGTTGATGCCGTTGCACAGCTCCGTGGACTGCCGTGCGTGCACAGGATGGATCAGGCATTTGCGAGTGGGAAGAAGGCAGCCGATATGCTGGGCAGCAGAGCTCTCAGAATCTGCTGCAGAGACTTGGAGGGCGCCTGGCCGGATGGAGTGTTCTGACATAAGTGTGTCTTGCAGGTGGCGAGCAGGATTGATCTCCGGCCATGGAGCTCTGACATCTGACAGTGGAAGTCGCAAGTACAGGCGCCAAGCAAGGTTCCTTCTGGCCACTCATTAAAGAACTCGGCTGTGTTGATTGGCAGTTCAACCCCCGCACTCGCATGCATGGTTTCTGCAGGGGCCAGTGGGTCCATTCAAAGAAGCATGGTACCAGGCCCAGGATTGCGGACATGACAAGCGCAGCCGCAGCCCCTGCTGCATGAAGACCCCACGGCCAAGGTCGAGGTGTTTACACGTGGCCAGATGGTCGCAGCATCCCAAGCAAGTCTCATTCAGGAACACTGTCAGTCCATGAAACATTCTTTGCATCAGGTGAACACCGGGGCCAGTACCAGCTGGACACTGCTTCCGGATTCGGTACATTCTCATGGCCGTGCCAGCTTGCTTTCGATTGCTGAACCGGGACAGCAATCAGCTATTGGTTGCACATGCGCAGGCCGGATGGCAAACAGTATCACGGCTTTTGGCACAATGCCCACATCATCGGTGATTGCCTCTCGAGCGCCAGCTGGCGCGAGACAGTGACATGCGTGATTTCTTCCAAAGGTCCTGGAGTTTTCAGCGCTCCCGGACACTCCGACAGGCCCGGCCAGCCACTGCCGCTGCGATGCATTCAGTCATGAGTCTCAGGCCGATGGAAGTTGATGTCAATCTGTTTCCAGCCGAGTTGAAGGCCAGGATGTGCAGCAGAAGTTGGAGAGTCCCGCGAGCAAAAGAGTCCTGGAGTTAACGGATTTCGTGTATTGCCTTGCGACCGCATTTGCTCAGTTAGCTTAGCGGCTTAACCCCGATGTAAGACAAGACCGGGAGCTCCTGCCATGGAATGTGCTGAGCCGCTCGTAGTGCAACAGTTTTTCCTTTTTGCGCGGGAGGACTGTGACACTTTTGCCAGCAGCTAGCAGGGCAACGCGCAGTCAGAACTCACGGTTTTCGCGCCTGAGGTTCTCGCTCGAAAACCTCAGCAGGGTATTGCAAACGCCACTTGCCTTCCCAACCCAAAAAATAGTTGGCTCTGCTGCTTTGTGCACGCGTGGACACAAGCCATCCCGAGGTACGAAGGACGTGACAAGACAGCCAGGCTAGTACAATTTGCCAGCAGGTTTGTGGTCGGACTGACCGCGCAAGCTGCTTGACAAGAACACTTCAGAGATTCAGAGAGAGCGAGAGAGCCCACGCTGGACGGATGGGCCCCCTTTCCGACAAATGGTAAGACCATGTACTTACAGGAGCAAGCAAGAGATGCCGGTCGCTTTTGCCCCTAACGAAGCAAAGAGACAGAGCGAGAAGGGGCAGAGAGAAGCCGCGCATGGGGGCGGGGCGGGGGGGGGGGGGG